CCGCCTCCGGCCGGCCGCAGGCCCCCACCCGGTCCCCCGCGGCGCCTCCGGGAGCCGCCTCCCGGCGCCAGGCCAGGGTCTCCTAGCGCTGGATCCTGGGACACTGACCCTGAGGCTAGGTCTGCAGACTCATCGGTGAGTCCCCAGGCCCGCACACTAAGCACCCCGAATGTCACCCGCGGACCCAGACCCGACCTCATCTAAGCCCCCGAAGTTCCTTCTTGTACATTCACGTCTTAGTCCGGGCCTCTGGGAATCTCACTCTCTGTCTGAGAAATGTCATCCTGGCCATCTAACCCCGGACCCCCTACATGCTCTGTAAACCTTCTAGAATGTTACTATGAGCTCTCGATAGACAGTCGCTCTGAAAATAGCGAAACTTCGTCCAGGGTCCCCAACCCGCAGCGAGCAGCCGCTCCCAGGCCTAGAGCTGTCCACCTCTGCCCCTTCTCCCTACCACCCACTTTGCCCCAGGGCAGCCTCCTGCAGCCCACCATGTGCCAGGTGGGAATGGTTCGGGGGCGGGATGGCAGTTTCCTTTTGGCCCAGAATGAATGGAAGCCCCTGAGATGGCAAGCGCGAAGCCAGGGTCCCACACCCGCGTCTCGGGTTCTCACCTCCCACCCACGGCCCCCAGCAGTTTCCTGGCCCCTCCCCGCCGAGTGTGAGCCCTTGGGGGAGGGGTCTGGGCGGAGCTGGCTCCCAGGAAGGGGCGTGGCCTCGAGCAGCCCACGTCTCGGGGCGGGGCCAGACGGGAAAGGGCTGCTTGTCCAGGATTCCCCGCCCAGGGGGTACATGGCGTGGGGGGGCTGCCAGCGCCCCTGCCCTTTCCCACCAGCTTATCCTCATGATTGCCCCCAGCGCGACCCGGAGGGGCCGGTGTGCAGAGGAGCAGAGTTGTGGGTGTGTCCAGAGGTGAACCCTCTGTTCAGGGTGACCAGGAAAGTGCCCCTCCACTTCCAGAGCCTCCCCAGCAGCGTGGGGGAGGAGGCTGAATTTAATAGCTCTTAAAAAAAAGATAATAATAAGTGTTGGCGAGGACGTGGAGAAGTTGGCCCTCTCACACTGGCTGGGAATGGAAGGTGGAAACGCTGCTGAGGACAACAGTCTGGCAGGCCCTGAAACTGTCACCCCGTGATACAGCAAGTCCACTCCTAGGTGTAGGCCCAGACCGAAAACACATGCACACAAGAAACGTGTACATAATGTTCATAGCAACAGTAGTGAGTAACTAAATGTGATGGGTGAGTAACTAAATGTGGTCATACAAACGCTGTTATTCAGCCATGAAGAGGACTGAAGCCCTGATACCGGTAAACCTTGAAAATGCTCTGACAGAAATGGTGATGCAAATATATTTGACAGTTCATAAAAAACCACTGACTAGTACATTTTTAAAAAGATTTAATTTATGCATACAGAACTGGGGTACAGGCCAGAGGTGCGGACGATGAGTGGGTTCACCAGAGACAGAGTGGGGAGAAGAACAGGCAGATCGACAAAGTACACTGCTGTGGGGAGCAGTGGGCGGGTCAGGAGAGGTCTGCCGCGCCATGTGGTCACCTCCCAGGATCAAACTGGCACTGAAGCAGCTGCCGCTAGCTTGCAGAGCTGCGCCTTAATCCACTGTGCCACCAGGGAGGGCCCTGATTAGTACATTTTAAAAGGGTGAACTTCATGGTGCGCGAGTATATCTTGAGAAAGCTATTATTCTTAAAAAGTAAAAGTTTTTGATGATCAAGACCTCACTGTTCAGGGCCTCCTTTGTAATGTAAGGGGCTAAATCTCAGCACTATGAAGCTACCCCAGCCACTGCAGCACGAGTTCGATCCTTGGCCAGGGAGGGACCCACAGGGCACAGCAGACCCCTCCTGTCTCCCTGCTGCTCCCCTCAGCAGCGTACTTCACCGATCTGCCTGTTCTGTTCCCCAGGCTGTCTCTGGTGAGTCCTCTCACTGCCCCTGCACCTCTGGCTCATACCCCAGTTCTGTATGCATAAATAAATAAATCTTTAAACAAAAAAAAGGGGGGGAGAGTGGGCAAAGACGCGAAGCCCCAAGACAGCCCTTCACTTGGTGGTTTCTGCAGCTCCACCCTCAGCCCCTCAGCAACTTCTGCAAGGCTTCCTGTCTCCCACAGTTGGCTTCGTGGCACCATGTTACAGATGTTCTCCTGTCTCCTGCCCCTGTGGGTAGCAGGCCTGGCCCAAGGCACACAGGGCTCCCGTGCAAGTCAGGTGAGTGCCCCGTCCGTGCCCACATCTGTTGGTGGTAGAGGTGGGTGGGGGCTCCCCCCTTCATAGGGGCTGAGGAATGCCATGTCTCAGGGGAAGCGCTGCGGCCAGAGAGATGTGCCAAGCTCACACAGGGAGACAAAGCAGGCTAACTGGCCGGTCCACTGGCCCAGTCCTGGTGGGAGTCAGTGTGACCCCTCACCTGCTCCAGCCCCTCCAGCTCCCTCCTGTGTTCCTTGCCAGGACCCAGGTCCCCAGCCTCTGAGCCTGAGAGAGGTCTTCACGCTGTTCCAGATCCAGCACAACCGAACTTACTCAGACCCAGCAGGTACCCCACTTTGTCTATTCCACCCTCTCCCAAATGGATGTAGGAGCTGAAGAGGAAGGAGCCAAATGGCAGGCGGGTCCAGTCCTGAGTCCCTGCCTGCATGAGTGGGGACTTGGTCACTTTTGTTTTTTTAAAGATTTATTTATTTGTGCATGCTAAACTGGGGTGCAGGCCAGAGGTGCAGGGGCAGTGAGAGGATTTGCCAGAGACAGAGTGGGGAGCAGAACAGGCAGATAGACGAAGTATAGTGCTGAGGGGAGCAGCGGGCAGGTCAGGAGGTCTGCAGTGCCATGCAGTCACCTCTAGGGCAGGGATCGAACTCGCACTTAAGCGGCTGCAGCCAGCTTGCAGTGCTGCATCCTAACCTGTTGCGCCACCAGGGAGGGCCCCTTGGTCACTGTTTAAAAAAATGTATTTTTGTATACAGGACAGCCAAACTTGGCCTGGGGAACTGGCCAGAGACAGAGTAGGGAGCAGAACAGGCAGAAATCCACTGCTGAGGGGAGCAGCAGGGAGAGGTTTGCTGTGGGTCACTCCCTGCCAGGAGACAGAACTTGTGCTGAGTAGCTGTGGACAGCTTCAGTGCTGAGACTTAACCCCCTGCACCACCAGGGAGGCTTGACTTGGTCACTCTTGGCCACGAGCCTGGAGAGGGGTGGCCGCCACTGGGCTGCGGCTTAGAGCAGCCCTTGTCTCCAGAGTCCCTTTCCTGTGATTCAGGCTGTGGGCAGGGGCTGCCACCTAGTCAAGGGTCCATCCAGCCAGCTCCTGAAGAAACCTGTTTTGTCCCAGAGCCAGAACTCCCTGTCCTGGCTGATGCCAGGAGCCTGGCCTCCGCCACCCCCTCCCAGTTCTACCTGCGGTCAGAGGTAAAGACAGTAGAGGAGGGCAGCAGGAACTGGCCTCCCACCCTGTCTCTCTGCCTTCAGAACCTTCATTTGCCCAGTGGGCAGACACCCCATTCCTGCTTCCTGGGAAAACCCAACCCTAGGTGGGTTTCCACAGCGGGGCCTCCACAGGCCCACAGGAGCCAGTGCTCACCTGGGCAGGTGTGAGAGGATGTCCATAGCGGCTACTGCCAGTCCCAGGGGGCTTGGGATGCGGCCTAGAGACACCTCTTTTATGGTCCAGAGTATGCTCGCCGCCTGGAAATCTTCGCCCACAACCTGGCCCGGGCTCAGCAGCTGCAGGAGGAGGACCTGGGCACAGCTGAGTTTGGGGTGACTCCATTCAGTGACCTCACAGGTACTGTACCGCCCTGGGCTAGGTGGTGGGTGCAGAAGCAGACAACGGCACTGGCAGGCCGGCAGGCCAGGCACCCTCGGCTTGCATCTCCCGGAGGGGCCTGAGGACCCTGGTGCTCGTCCCCAAGACAAGCATGGGGCAGGACGACTAGAGGATGTGCCCCAGTCCAGCCACAGGTGCAGAGGACGCACCCCAGCAAGGGCTGGGGCTCAGCGTTTGTGCGTCTGTCTCCTGGGGTGCTGTGGGGACACAGCAAGGACGCAGATGGCTGGAGGGGGAAGGGCAGACTATGGGGGGGCAGTGAGGGTCTTATTTTGACCTTGGTGGTCCCACGTGTCCCCCAGAGGAGGAATTTGGGCAGCTCCATCAGACGGCCCCGGGGGAACCCCCCAGTATGAGGCGCGAGGTATGGCCCGAAGAGTGGGGGCAGTGCACGCCCGCCTCCTGCAACTGGCAGAAGCAGCCCGGCGTCCTCTCCCCTGTCAGGAACCAGGTATGTGTCCCCACGCGGGCCCAGAAGCGCCCGGGGGAGGTGGTGGGAGATGGGCGAGGCGGAGCCCCCTGAGCCTGCCCCGACCTACTAGGGCAGCTGCGGGTGCTGCTGGGCCATCGCGGCAGCGGGGAACATCGAGGCCCTGTGGGCCATAGATCACCACCAGCCCGTGCAAGTCTCTGTGCAGGGTATGGCAGGGCAGGGGGGCGGGGGCGGGGGGTGCCTGGGGGCAGGACTGGGCCTGGCACCCATGGTTTCCTTCCTGCCACAGAGCTCATAGACTGCAGGAGATGTGGGGACGGCTGCGAAGGCGGCTGGGTCTGGGACGCGTTTGTGACCACCCTCACCAACCGTGAGTGCCGCCTCCGCCTTGCCTCTGGGCAGCTGCGGGCAGGCGGGAGCCAGGCGCTGAGTCCCTCCTCTCCCTACTCCCAGAGGGCCTGGCCAGTGAAAAGGACTACCCATTCACCAGGAACTTCAAGAAGCAGAGGTGTGAGGACAACAGGAACAAGAAGAAGGTGGCCTGGATCCAGGATTTCATCATGCTGCCGGAGGATGAGAGGAGTGCGGGCAGGCTGCAGCGCGGGCGGCCGCGGGGGCCAGAGTGGGAGAGATGGAGGCCGAGATGGGGGCTCGGCGCGGGGAGGAGACAGGCAGCCAGGGGCTGAGTTGGGGCCCGGGGCAAGCAAGCTCTGATAACCCCTTCCACCCCTAGAAATCGCCTGGTACCTGGCCACCCAGGGCCCCATCACTGTGACCATCAACATGAAGCTATTACAGGTGGGCTGGGCTGGGTGGGGGAGGGGAGAGGGGAGGAGGCCCAGACTCAGCCCGCGCTCCCCCTGCCCCCCCAGCTGTACAAACAAGGTGTGATCAAGACCACACCCACCCAGTGTGACCCCCAGCATGTGGACCACTCTGTCCTGCTGGTGGGCTTTGGGAAGGAGAAAGTGGCAGCCTCGTCCCCCCATCATCTTGCCCCTGGCCATGCCCTTCCCTACTGGATCCTGAAGAACTCCTGGGGGCCTCAGTGGGGTGAGGAGGTGAGCTGAGGGTGATCTTTGGGGGTGGGAAAGAGCAGGCCTCTCCCTGCCTTCTGGTCCCAATGCACTTTAACCTCCCAGGGTTATTTCCGGCTACACCGAGGGAGTAATACCTGCGGCCTCACCAAGTACCCATACACTGCCCGAGTGAGCAAGCCAGCTAAGAAGCGGCCAGTCTCCTGCCCTCCCTGAGCCTGCCAGTGGCCTGCCTGCCAGTCCCACTCCGGGGTTGTACCTGTTACCTACTCTCCCTGCTATGGCCTGAATAAATTGTGATCCCAACTTCAGGTGGGAAAACGGTGGACAGGGAGCGGGCAGACATCCTGGTCCCTTCGGGCTGACGCACATGGCCTCACGCACGTCCCTGGACACACACATGCACACCACTCGCTGGCGCAGACTGTCTGAGGACCCGGCACAGGCTCCTCCAGTCATGGCAACTTTATTGTCCAGGCAGAGTGGCGGGGGCCTCAGTCGTGGTAAAGGCGCAGCAGGCAGCCACGGAGGGTGCCCATGTAGCGGTCCCAGAGGGCCTGGTGCCTGCAAGGGGAAGAGGGACACTGATGGGCAGAGGACAGGTGGCCCACATGCCTCTGCTCGTTCAGTGCTCAGTGTCCTGCTGTCCACGTAAGTAGCCCCTGCTCACAGAAGTGGAATCTGAGGCACTGTGCAGCCACAGCTCCTAAGAAGTGGAGCTAGGACTATGGTTCACATACTGCCGCAGGGGAGGGGACAGGGAACCTGGAGTCTGCAGGAGTGCTAGGCCCTGGCAGGTGAGGGGCTAGGGCCAGGCCAGGCTGGTGGGGGCCTGGGATCTCACCGGAAGCCATCCAGGGAGTGGACAGAGGCTGAATACTGATTCAAGAAGAGTCGCACGTCGTTCAATGGCCAGTGGTCAGAGCGGCAGGGTTCCACGAACTGAGGATGGAGGGAACACTGGGGGCTGGCTCACTGAGTGGCAGACCAGGCCGGGACTCAGGGGCAGGCAGGACAGCTCACCTTCTCCACGAGGTCCACGAATAGGTCCCTGACGTCCTTATTATGGGTCAGTTTGGCGGCCACATTCACTAGTCCCCGGGACAGGTTCTGTAGGGCAGGGAGCTGGGAGTTCTGAACACAGCCCCCCAGGCTGGGGCTGAACCAGAGGCCCAGGAAGGAGCGGACCCTGCCCAAATCGAGCCGCCTCCCGCCACAGGCAGAGAGCGGCGGCGCCACCTGCCGGCCAGTATGGGGGTGCGGAGCTGCAGGTGAGAGGGGCCCAGGGACAGAGGCTGGGTTGGGCCACAGACCTTAAAGTTGGCTTCCATCTCAGAGAAGACACTGAGTTTTCCCCGGAGGGCGGTGCACACCAGGCTGCAGGGAGAGAGGGTCAAGCCTAGAGCCACCTGGGCTCCCATTTCAAGCCCAGCCCCAAGGAGCTCCCCAGGGTCACCTCTTGTGCAGGTCCAGAAGGTCCTTGTCGGCCACTAGCACCTTGAGCTCCTTCAAGTCCTGGAGAAACTCCTTGTCTAAGTCCATGTCCATGTCGTCCACCTGGGAGTCTGAGTGAGGTCCATGCAGGGAGTCGGGGTGGGGAAATATCCTGAACCTTCCTGACCCACTGGCTCACTGCATCCCGAGGCGGTGTAAGAAGTGGGTGTCATGAGGTGGAGTGACTTGCCCCAAGTCAGAGAAAGCTGGCCTCGAATGCACACAGGGCGTGCGGGGGAACCCTGAGCTATGAGCAGAGGTCGCTGCTCCGAAGGATAAAGGGTGCTGGGGGCACACAGGTACTGGCCGGGAGCCCAGCCCTGGGCGGTGGGGAGGGGTCCGGGCACCTGGGTCAGTGGGGGCCTCACCGACGGCGCCTAGGGTCCAGTTCTGGATCATGAGCTCGGCACAGAAGGCAAAGTCGCCAAAGCTCAGATACTGCAGTTTCTTCTTCCCTGTCTCAAAGCGGTTGTTGGCAAAGAAGACGATGGCGGCGTAGTCTCTGCATGGAGGGCGTCAGGCTCAGAGATGCCTTCTGGGCACAGTTCCCACCTGCCTCAGTGGGCTCCATCTGGCCTCTCCGCCCTCATTCACTGAGTGATGGGATTCAAGTCGCCTGTCTCTAGGCTTCCCCACCTGTGCAAAGCCAAGTGTCCAGCCCAGTCTCTGAAAGGGCACGGAGCGCCCACAGGGGTGAGGCTCCGGTCCCCAAGCACTTGTTCAGCCTTAGGGGCTGGGCTGTACACTGACCGCAGCACTAAGCTCTGCAGGCAGGTGGCCAGACCGGGAAGCAAACCAAACCCCAGCGCAGGAGTGAGAGAACCTTCCAGGCACAGCCAGAGGTGCGATGGAGGGAGGCAGAGCCGCCACAGGCCCCTCACCTGGCCAGCCGGTCGGAGAGGAGGAAGTGCTGCTGGATGTTATCCACCAGGGAGCCCCGCATCTCCTCCACCACCTTGAAGACTCGCTTAAAGTTGTCAAACTGCAGGGCAGCGGGCGCCGGTCATTGCGTGTTCACCGGCGTGTTCACCGGCTCGCTGCTTGAACATCCCTCCCCACCGACAGCTGAGCACTTCAGTCAACTGACGCTGACTCAGTTTCTGTTAGTCCTTCCAACTCTGAGTGATTAGTATCTGTTAAAATTCCAGATATCCCTAGCTTCTGCCTCAAAGGCTGATCCCTCCTGTCTGAATTTACCCTATTGTAGTATCATGCTCGCAAGTTTTTCACAGGCTTGGGCTGACACTGACCCTCTGGCAAAGGCTCGGGGAAGAAAAAAATGATCAAAGGCTAAACCCTCCCCAGCAAGCTTGCCAGAGACAATGGCAAAACGTAAGACAACGGCAAAACGTACGAAAGGCCAGGAGAAAGGTTACTTCTCCCAGCACCACCAGAGGGGCTTGTGGAGGTGGGATGTGACATGGCAAGTATGGAACACCCCCCCCCCAGCAGCAGCAGGAGCAAGAAAGCCGGGGTGGGAGAAACAGAGGCAGGGGCCAGTCACAGGAGACTCTGAAGGTCAAGTCAAGGAGTGTGGCTGTGGCTGCTATCCAGGAACCAGAGGGAGCCAAGGGAGGCTGATGAGCAGGGTGGAGCTATGGTCACTCTGACCAATGAGTAGGAAGGGGCCACCAGGGGCCAGGAGACTGGGTGTGAAGTCTGCCACTATCAGAGGTGGGAGGGAGGCAGGGGCGGGGGCGGTGGCCACAGGATTGGAGCGAAGCTGCGAACACAACTGGGATGCTCTGCTGGGGTGAGGGGTGCAGGGCGCACCTGTCTCCGGCAGCTCTTGAGGGTGATGTTTGTTTTGGTGCTGATGTCGTCCAGGTCTTTCTTGGTGCCCTTGGACAGTTTCTTGCCCAGGACCTCCCGCACAAAGGCCTCATCAAAGGCGTAGTACCTGCGTGGCGGCAGAGGGCACCACTGACTTTCCAAAGAGGAGAAACGGGTCCTGGTTTGGCCCCTCCTGCTCTCACTTTGCCCGTGGCTTGGGTAAGTCCTTTCCTCCCTGGACCTCAGTTTCTGCCCGCCAAATGGGCATATGGCCGGGCGACCCCGCCACCCCGCCGATGAGCACCTCTCGATGAGCAGCGCTTGTCGGGAGGGCGGGATCTGGAAGATGAGCTGGTGCAGCAGCTTGGGCGGCGCGTGCAGCAGGCGCTCGAGCATGTGGAAAGTGCGGTAGTGGTCCATGGTGTCGCTCTGCAGCACCGCCGCCGTGGCGCCCGTCTGCTCCAGGATTCCCGAGCGCACCCTCAGGCCCACGGCGTCGCTCACTGGGGAGCAGTGCGGGCATCAGGCCCCGCCCCGCGGGGATTCCAGCCCGACCCCGCTACGTCCCAGGCTCCCAGCGCCGCTCACTTCCCGACAGGGCGCTCGACCCGCCCCGCCTCCTCGCCCAGCCACAACCACCGCTCCGCCCGCGGGGCTCCCCGGGCGGCCCCACAGACCGGAGTAGCCATCCAGCCAGAGGCGGTACACATCCTCGTCGATGAGGGTGGTGTTCCCCACGAAGATGTCCAGCTCGCTGGTCATGGCGACGCCCGAGCCCGGGCGCGGCCGCAGCGCCCCAGCAGGAGCGAGCACTGCCCGGGCCGGGCGCGCCGCCTCCCGGCCACTTCCGGGAGTGCCGAGATTCCGTTCCGGGCACCCGGAGCCCTGGAGGGACCACTTCCGGCGTGAAGCGCCGCGGCCCCTCTTCCCTGCGGGAGGGGTTCTCCGCTCTCAGGTCCGCTCGCTGGGCCCCGCGCCGCCGCAGGGCTGTGTGCGGGAGGGCGTGCTAGGCCAGGGCTCCGGCGGTCCGGCAGGTTTGCCTGGCCTGGCAAGCTTCGCCCTCACTGCCACCCGCTTTTTTCTCCCACTGTGTCTTCCCTTTTCTCTCTAGCTGGATCTGTGTACCAAATCTTTTCTCTACAGTAAAGTGCCCAGCCTCCCAGGGTCCTTGCGGGAGCCCCCTCTGTCCATCCAACAGAGGAGCACCTACTCCCTGGTGTTCACCACCACCACCTTCCCACTCCCCCTACTCCGCCTGGAGCTAATGAGCTGTCCTCCGCAGCTCAGAGCCGGACCTCCGGGTCTGCATTCAGAGGCAGCCTATCTGGGAGTCTTTTTCTTGCCCGATCTGTTTTCGTTCCCGAGTTCCTAGCTCAGTGACAGCCTCCATCATCCACCCAATTATCTTAGCTTAAACCTGGGCTTTCTCTTGACTCCTCTCTCTCCACATTGAGTTTTGCTGATTTACCTCGTGAATATTTCTAGTGTGTTTTGTCCTCTCCACTCCCATGGGTGCGGCCCCAGCCCAGTCTTCTGCAGAGCTCTCCTTTCCCATTAACAGCTTTCTCACTCATCTCTGAGCTGCTTCCCGCCCCATGGTCCATCCCACATTGAGGAACCTGAATAAGCTCTCTTTAACCTATTTTAAAATGCTACTTTTCTTGCTTTATTTGGAGCCCTCCCAGGTGGTGCAACAGGTTAAAGCGCAGCACTATGAAGCAATCTGCAGCCATTGCAGCACGAGTTCCATTCCCCACCAGGAGTGACCCACAGGGAGCCGCAGACCTCTCCTGACAGGCCCGCTGCTTCCCTCAGCAGTGTATTTCAGTCAGTCGGCCTGTTTTGCTGCCCACTCTGTCTCTGGTGAATCCTCTCACCCCCTCCCCAAACCTCTGTCCTGTACCCCAGTTCTTGTATGCATAAATACATAATAAATCTTAAAAAAAAAAAAACACAACTTCTTACTGGACTATGAAAACCCTCTCCAGACAAGTTCTGAAAGCCCGTGATTTTCTGGCTTCAGACTACCTTTGTTGCCTCACTCCCTCTAACCACTTTTCCACACACCTGCCTTTCAAAACCATCAAATGCTTCTCCCAGCCCTCCTAAAGCAGCTAGACACTTGACACAGACATCTCGTCGTCTGATTCCCACTCCCTGAAATAGCTCTTTGTACGTGGCAAAGTCTGTACATCCTTCAATAACCCTCTTGGTCTCACCTCTTCTAGGAAAACTTTTTTTTGGGGGGGAGGGAGCCCTCATACAGGTGGTCCTGACCACTTGCTTCTAAACTCCCTTACGAAACCCGCGTGATTACGACCTCTGACACGATTAAGATTTTGAGTTTATGTCCGCATGGATCTTGCATGTAACAAAGGTTTACTGAACCAATGAATCCGTTGTGTGCTCCTTTGGGATACAAGCTAGGACATCTGGATTCGGGGTTCGGAGGAGCGGGGAGCCAGGGAACTCCGCTCTGGAGAGCCGAGGGCACACCGGAAAGTCTGGAGGCCTGAACTCGAACTTGAAGAGGCTTCGACCTGGGAGGTGCTGTGCGCGCCCAGTCTAGGGCTGACCAGGGGAAGGGGGTGACCGCGAGTCCAGAGCCCCGCGGGCCGTACTATCTCCGTGCTGGGCGAGGAGGCCGGCGCCCAGGCCACGCCCATGTCCGGGCGCCTCGCG